AAATGGAACTAGTACGGAGAAAGTGGCGGGGCCTTGAGATGTCCCAAGGGAACCATGAGCCAACATGAGGAATGGTCGCGCAAAGCAAACGACACCGTCGAGATCGAGATCTAGAGGTGGGAAATATTACCACCACTAGCGGAAGCACTAGTGGGATCAAGTGGGAAAGTCGTGAGAGAAAAAAAAGCAAAGTAATGGTGAGGGGAGGCCTACCCAGCACTCCTAGATATCTCGGACTAGCTAGGCATGAGAAAATAGAGACCAAAGGGGCTCAGCACAGAAAAAAAACTACCAAAAGAAAACGGAGCAAAGGGGGCCCAAAATTGAGGCTAACGGAGGCAAAATGAAGCCTCCTTGAGTATGGGGGCTTTATTATTGTAATCCGAGATATAACGGCCAACTTCTGAGTCTGAATCTGGCCATAGATGAAGATCCATGGCCTAGAAAAAGACTCAACAGCCACTTGACACTTGTCACATCAGAAATAAAAGAAAAGTAAAAAAAAATGAGAGAAAATGGAGGGAGAATGAGCCAAAGGGGGAGAAAAGGGTAGAGGAGAATGTCCCGGCCAGTTGGGACTGGCACAGTAGGGGTTGGCAGGTCCCTATTGTGACCTCATCCCTCCAAGATTTAAGGAGGGTAATCCGGATTGCAGAGGTATGACCCTTGGGGCATTATCTCTGTAATATCTGAATTAAAAAGACAAAATTGAGAGAAAAAACAGAAGGGAAATGACCAGTTTTCTTTTAGGCCGTGGATCTGAGATTCAGATCCATGGAGGAGGGAATATGCCGTTTTTGACGAGGCCAACGCAAACAGCCAACTCCGGAATGAGTTGGTAGCCCAAAATGGAAAGAAACGAAAGAAAGAAAAAGACAAAAAAAAATGAAGTGCTCAATTTTCAAGTGCATCCGGGCTCAATATTGGCCCCGGATGCACCTAAAACATGTGTTTTCCCTTCCCCATACAGTCCGTTGTAACTCGGACTGCAGTAGGGGTCAATTTCCCAGCCCCATTGCCCCACAACTAGCCCAAAGCTGAAGGAAAAAGAAACGACCAACTTTCAAGTGCATTCGGGCTCAATATTGGCTCCGGATGCACCTAAAACATGTGTTTCTCTTCCCCTATGTAATCCGTTGTATCTCGGTTGCATGGGGCCTTGATTTTCCTTGATTTTCTCTGCAAAATCAAGAGAAATTCGAGGTCCTTTGCAACCGCCATATGCCAGAATGTATCTGGTGACGGATGTATCTCCCCAAGTGGTCGTTTTTTACCGTTAAGACCTTTTGCTCTTTTCTTTTCTTTTCTCTTTTCTTTTCTTTTCTTTTTCCTCCTTTTCTGGACAGTAGGGACCTGACAGTCCCTACTTGTGGTTGTCCCTACTGACGACCAACTCACTCACTCCCTCTCACTCCTTTTGTCTCATTCTCCTATCTTTTTCTTTTCTTTTTCCTTCTTTTTCTAGCATGCCAAGTGTCAAGTGGTCGTTAAGGCTTTTTCTAGGCCCTTCCTCTTAGTTTTGGCGCTCCCTATACCCATGGTGCAGTCTGTTACATCTGAGACTGCAATTGTGGCTCCCTCATGCCCATGGGAGCCTCCCTTTACCTCTATTTCTCCCACACAGTGGCCCCTCATACTCCGATTTTCTCCCGGAGGCCTATTTTTCCCATGGAGTCTCTTTTGATTCCATTTTCTTGAGGGAGGCTGATTCAAGATTTTTCGGATTGCTCCCATGACTCCTCCTTCATGTTTCTTTTCTTTTTCTTTTCCTTTTGATCTCCCCGTTCGCTCCCACTAGTGCTTGTCCCGCATGGTGGTCCCCGACACTTTGTCCCATCGGTGGTCCCTAACACTTTGTCCCATCGGTGGTCCTCAACACTTTGTCCTGTCGGTGGTCCCCGACACTTTGTCCCGTCGGTGGTCCCTGACACTTTGTCCCGTCGGTGGTCCCCGATACTTTGTCCCGTCGATGGTCCCCGAGAGTCCCGTCGGTGGTCCCCGATACTTTGTTCCATCGGTGGTCCCCGACACTTTGTCCCATCGGTGGTCCCCGACACTTTGTCCCATCGGTGGTCCCCGACACTTTGTGTCGTCTTTCTCTGGCGTTCTCCGGTCGTCAAGGCCCCCTTCCCGTATGACCTTGGCACCCCGTTGTGGCCCTTACTTTTTAGTGTCCCGCGGCCACCAGGGTCGTCCACCTTTCGGCTTCACTGTTCTCTTGCCATCTGCCACACCCTGTTGGCCCCTCGGGTCCTTGCCATGCCAAATTCGAATGGCCCTCCTGGCCCCATGCTATGCCCCTATGCGCCCCTGTTACTTGCTTGCCATTGTCGGGTCCTTCACCTTGCGGTACTTAGCCCAGGGCATCATACCTTCCTGCAGTCCCGTCCTAGTCCTTTGTCTTTTCTCTCTCTCTTATCTCCTTTCTCCGGATTTCTCTGTCGTGCACAACTTGGATACATACAGGCTCTCAAGTGTCGGGACGTTATTCGGGATCCACAGGTCCCGACAACGGTCGGCAGTCGGGGTCGGCGGTCGGCAGGGATGCAACCATGGCTACTGCGCAATTTCGGATTTCACAAAAAATTCAAAAAACGATTTTGAGCCAAAGGAAAAATTCCGAAAAAAAGGAAAAATATTTAGGAATTAGCAGTTATGTAATGAATCGCGAATGGGAACTAATTAGGTTAACCTAATCAATTAATAAATCAATCAATCATGTCTAATCAATCAATCAATCGATTCCCTACTTCGCGCGTTAGGTCAGATTCGTCCTGATTCACTAGAGCGTGGCTCCAATAGCAACTGACACATGCTCAATTGAGCGATGTATATGGAGCCAAGGATCCGCAAAGTGATGAAAAGGACTTGAATGGACAATTCAACAAAGCATCAACAAACAATTTACATCCAGATACATATGAAAATAGAACAGTGTAGCGCAGTGGAAGCTTCAAAGATATGACCTGACCTATCAGAGACTGACGCAACATCCCATCATACACCACACATGTGAGAGAGGGAGGGACCACACACATGGAAGAAAGGTCCCTCCTTGCACACGCGCATGGGGGAGATACCACGGATGAAAAGATGGGGAGAGGCGAGACGAAGACGGAGGTGAGGGAGAAGACCAAGATCGCGATGGCAAGTCCAAAAATAGTCTCCCTGCCGAATGTCCAATCAACGTCTGCCGTAAAAATGTCAAATCAGATCCTGGGCCTTATCCCCGATGTAACCTCTGCCTGGAACCTCTCTCTCTCTCTCTCTCTCTCTCTCTCTCTCTCTCTCTCTCTCTCTCTCTCTCTCTCTCTCTCTCTCTCTCGAGGACGAGAGAAGAAGACGAAGAAGAAGATGCCATCCTCCTCGCTATCTCACCTGCAGGTAACTGCCGCCACGTACTAACTGTTGTCGCTTGTATCCTCTATGCTGCAGGTGCGCTGGCGCGAAGACCAGCTATGGCGCCCAGGTAAGATCTCCGCTGGCGCAGGTATGGCCTCCGCCTCACTCCCAACCTACACCTCTACCTCCAGCGTAGCGCTGTAGCACTGCTCCAGCAGCGTGTCGCCCAAGAAATGAGCTACTCGAACTGTGTGTCTGCCCAGGCGTGGCCAAGCTATAAGTAGCGCTGGGCCTCGTGTGCCTCCGTGTGCCTCTCGACTTTGGCCAAAACGTGGCCTGCTGGGTCTGGGTCCCGACCGGACGTCCAGACCCTCCCTGCTGATGCAGCAGGAACGTCCGCTACTGAACGCAAACGGACCTGGCCCAACAGGGTCTGCCTATGTCCGTACCAGCCCAAAAACGCGGCCTTTGTCCGAACAGACCGAAGGTCTGTTCGAACGAATTGCAAGTCCGAAACAACGCCTGAACAAACAAAAATAGGACATCTAATAAATAGATAAATAAATAAATGAATGAATGCTGCCTCAAACCAAAACCTGCGGCCCTAAGGCCGGCCGTGGGGCTCCAGGGCGCCCGTCTGTGCGGCGTGCGGCCTGGACGCCCTCAGCAACCATCGGGCCCCCGAAATGGGGCCTGTATTTTTTTTTTTTTTTTTTTTTTTTTGAAAGACAACCCGAGTAAATGCTAGGGGTGCTGATAAGAGCAGACACCACCAGCACGCTCGGGGTGGCTCCATCTATTGGTGGGGAGCAACACCTGCTGGAAATCGGGTCCAGCGTCCCTCAACAATTATGAATTCATGTCAACACGCCACGTGTCAGTCAAACAAAAGACCTACACATCAACCGACCAACAAGCGGCACTCTATAACCTGATGAGCAGCATTGATTGCCCTCAGCAGAGGGGATTAACTGGTCATCACAATGAAAATCAGATTCCCACTCCAAAACCCTTTTTATCTGCTATCAATCCTTGCAGCCCCATAAGGGGGAGGGGCATTTGGAGAAGGAAGTAAAAAGTCAAACGGTAAACATCAGAACTCATGTTGGGGTGCCACGTGGACATCTGTCTAACTATATTAGCCGCGATGAGGACCGCCACGTAGGCTCAGTATTCAAAGTCAGCCCCAACTCCGAAACCCTCATCCTCTGCCAACCAGCGCGTACAACACCACGAGGGGGAAAAGCATTCGGAGTAGGGAGTCAAAGCACAATTCATCATTCAGAATAAGAAGTGAGACCGAATCCTCAGCTGGTTGTCGGGGTTCCATGTACCTTAATCACACCCCTCACTCCCCCCGCCCGGGTCCCACAGAAGCAACATGATAGCATGTCGAGTAGACGTAGCTATAGACAACATCTTCATTCCATCCCCAATAGCACCACCCTGTCTGGAAGAAGCAAGACGCTCGAGAAAAGCCCCCTGCCCCCTACACCCGCTATTGCAGTTATTTTCTACCCTTCCCATGATGTTATCATCATTAACTGTGTTGGCCCAGGTGCATGTATGACAATCATCCCCACGCTGAGCACTCTCCTCACCGTCGTTGTTTGTCTTATTGTTATCGTTGTCATCGATGGCCCAGATGCATATTTCACCTTCGTCGCCACGCTGATCACCATCCTCGCCGTTATCTTTGTCGTTGTTGTTGTTGTTGTTGTTGATGTCATCATCGATGTTATTATTGGTGTTGTTGTCCTCATCATCTCCACGTAAAGCCCCAACAACGCCGTTATGATTATCGTCGTTGTTGTTGTTGTTGTTGTTGTTGTCGTTGTTGTCGTCATCAACATTCTCATCGTTGCCAATTACAGCATCTTTGTTGGCGGGAGTAGCTGAAATACAAACCTGTATTCAGGCTCAGCATGAAACAGAAAATTACATGCAATACCGACTTGGAGTATTCTCACGCTAGGCCCTCAAAATCGCAAAATGGAAAAATCAACGGCCAGGTTGAGTCCTTGTAAAAGGAAGACTCGATCAATCTGCCCACTGATTTCGCAATTTTGCGATTTTGAGGACCTAGTGGGAGGATGCCCTCAGAACGGGAATACGTTAGTTAGTTTGACCTCGATCAGTTACGTGATCTCAATCCTTTCAACTTGAGTTTGTTGAAGGTTAAGAGTCGTTGTATGCATGTCCAAAAAAAAGAGTCGTTGTATGCATGTCCAAAAAAAAGAGTCGTTGTATGCATGTCCAAAAAAGAGGAAGAAAAAGAGAAATTGATGTCAGTGCGATGACTTGAATATGCACTAACAACTATGGATTAGGCTTTACACTCAGAGAATACATCTTTGTAAAGTAGCACCACACCTGGCATGCCCATCATCGCCCTTCTGCCTATCTCTGTTTAATGTACCTCGGACGTCACAGAAGAGCTTCTTGAGAGAGAATGCACATGAAATATTGTAATTCAGAAATGAACACATTCACATTAGGGGGGGGGGGGGGGGGGGGGGGAGTGGGAGTGGGGAGGAAGCTTCAAACAAAGTAGCTTTTATTTGAAAAGACTGAATGTCGGTCGTCGAGTGTGACACGGATAGTCAAGTTGTCACAATTCATCTCAGTGCGATGTTTCATAATTTCAGCGCTTTTCTTTCATATTATCTGTTTTCTCTCCTTCTCCTGCCGCCTTCTGAACTTTTCTTGCTTGCTCTTCATGTTTGTGTGATTCGTGTGATCTCTTTGTCTCTCTCCGCTACTCCTTGCTTCATCGTCTTTTGTCACATGGGGTTTATGTCGTTATTCTCTAAACCTTAGCCAACTGTAACTGTTTTGCGTATCTGAGCCTCTTGGATCGCTTCTTCCCATCTATCTAGCCTTGAAAGTTTCACTGACAAGGCAAAACAAGTCAAAGATTGAGCTTCACCCTAAACGCTAACCATTCCATTCTTTTTTTCTGAGTCCATACTTGAGGCATACTCGCTCACACTAGGACTTGTTCGGCTTAGCTCTGGACGTGATTGCAGTCAGATTCATCCACGACCGGCCATAATTGCACACAGATATATGTAGAAAAGTTACGGCGTGAATATGTCCTTACCTGAGCCCAGCATTCACAATTTTCAACAAGTTGGCTAATGCTGCATTCCTCTTCAAAACTCGGAGCTCTACTTCTAGCAGGTTCTTCATTATCTCAGCTGATGAAATAACAAGCACTTTTCTGAACGTATCCATGTGCAATTATGGCTAGATGCGACTTCTTAGCTATCACATGCCCACTGCCGTGGCATGCCATGTTGGCTCGCAAACCATGCCAGTCCATGGGACTTGCAAACGCCTATGGCAAAAGAGCGGATTTCGGTCCCGGCCCCAGGGGCAGATGTGTTCAGCAGTTCAGCAAACAAGAGCTGACGTGAATGCTCACATAATGGATGGACAAAAGTTCCCTGGAAAATTGGGGACTTCCGAATTCACTCTGCTCCGGGGGATTTCCATTTCGCGTCAACCAACTAGTGTTGCAGGCTAACGCAAAGCTTGTTATTGTCTTAGCCAAACACAAAGCATGTCATGAGATGAGTAAAATACTAAAATCCTATGTCCTTTTATGTTCTGTGTTTCCTTGCCCCAAACTTCCAAAGTGTGAGAGCACGACTACAAATAGAAGGTGAACATAACAACAGCCGGCACACCCATGAACTGTTGAAATACAGACCCAAGTTTGAATCCATGTGAAATCAGATGAACAGAATAACATACCTCTGGATTACCTGGGGACGTTCAGTTCAATGATGATATCTCAAGGCCGTCATCCTTTTTCTTTATATATATATAATATATATATTGTCACATCACTACAAACTAAAAGAGCGCACTTTGCGGAACAAAGAATAAAAGCAAAAAACGGGCACAGTGATAACATGCAAAAATAAAAAGAAAAAGAAAAAACAAGGGCAGATTGAAACCATTAAATTTCTCATTCTTCTTTGAACTCCACCTCCACTGTGCCTCTCACGTGCAAGGCTCGCCACGTTGTATATATATATATATATTATATATATCGTCAAAAAATATACATATGTATAAACTTACTATAAAGGTGACCATTCTTACCTCTTCAGCCAGGCTCTGCCCATCAGTGTCGAGTTCTCCCCGTGCCAGCTGCTCATTCTGTTTCTGTAAGCGGTGCAGTTCGCGCAGGAAATTTCTTTCTTTCTCTCTCATGTCTTGCTGGCTAAGCTCCATAAGCGCCACTGTGACTCTCATCTCACTCTGCCATCCCAATACAAACCATGGAGTGAACACACACGCTTAACTCTTGGCAGTTGAATAAATTCCATACCCATGTGGCTCTCATTCCAGCAATACAGTTCGCCAGCGTCCACACCCCCACTGCACCAGTATGTTTCTGTACACAGACTGGCCCTTTCTATATGATGAGCAAACCAATGGCACACACCAGAACACTGACCCTCTCCACTGTATATGATGAGCACTGAGGAAGAAATTGTGGCCATTTCTAGGAGGCCAGTGCATTCGGCCCAGGGCAATCGAAGTTCCCACTCATCTGACTGCGACAACTGCAGAGGGAGCGGTCAACAAACAAACAAATTGAAACAATGCAACACTTTGACCCCACAAAAAAAAAAAAACTGATAAGGGAAGGACGGAGGAGGATGAATAGATAGGTGTCTTGTGCAGCTTGTGCCTCATCCACCACGTACTCCTTGTCCAGCCTCTTAGCACAATGCATGCTGTGACAAATGAGGATGAGACCAATAGGCCTAGCTCAGTTGGTTCACCCACGAACTGTTGAAAGACAGACAGTTTGAATCCCAATCAACACACATGAGTAAATGACTCTGAACTTACCTGCGGACGGTCAGTTTGAAGATGATATCTCAAGGCCGTGGGCATTTTCTTCAGAAAAGAAAAGCAAAAAAAAGTTAAAAAAACAAAGTGCGATCGAGGATAATGCAGAGGTGGTGGTGGAGTGGTGGGTCAGAAGGATGACCATTGACCGCAGTCCTGCCACACAATGACCAAGGCACCAAGAGAAGAATAGCATGACCACAAAGAAGTATGGAGGAAGAGGAACACACGTATTGCAGTCGCTTGACTGCAACCTATCTTCTCCTCCTCCGTACAATGCTCGTGATGCTAGCAGCAATGGGACTGAGGGCAAGGAGGAGAGCCAAGTAGAATCTATGAGAAACAAGAGAACTACCGTAGGGGGTAATGGGCAAGCAGTACGACATAGAGGGGCGAGGAAGAGACAAAAGAGTGGTAGGACAAACAGGAGGAATAGGAGAAGCATGACGAGGATAGAAGTGCTGGCTATGCTATTGACTCTGCACCTCTCTGAAAATATTTGTGTTAATATGCAATGACGATGAGTAACAGATATTAATTGAAGTCTCAAATCAGGAAAACAAATTCAAAACAAGAAGATTGAGCAGTGATTTAGCTATAGACATTGCAGACTTTTTTTTTTTGCCATTGCAGTTATTAAAGAAGAAGAATATTGATTAGGATTCAGGAAAAATTTTCAAAAAATTCTTCTTCTTGCAAGGAAAATAAGCAACAGCGAGATGCCAATTCCAGATCACACCATCATGCAATGAGCCCAGACGTGATGATACTCGTCAACATTACCAGTCCCTATGATTATCGATCTGCTGATGAAATGACAAACAATCGTAATATGTGTGATGATAGAATGAGGTGAGAATCATACACAGACGAAGGAGGAGAGAGGGAGAATAGACAAAGGAGAGAGAAGAAGACAACAGCCCACTTCTACTTCGG